GATACCTTCTGATGGTGTCTCTTGAAACCATTAAATGCACCAATCGCAACCGATCGTCCGTTAAAGGATAGAGCAAGCGATTATATACGAATTGCCATTAAGAATATATTTTCTCATTATCAGTAACAGCAGTATCACGAGTGATGGCACGCGAACATATTAATCGACAGGCTTTTTTTTTTTTAATTTTTGATGAATTGTATAACTTCCATGCAGTGTTGCATTCTGGCTATTTGTCTGGATCAGATAAATTCTGAGACAGAAATTTCTTCATAAAGATCGATTCTACATAAAGATAGAAAATCTAATCTACACAAAGATTATTTCTACATAGAGAATCTGTCTACATAAAGATTCGATGTAGATGTCTACAATTCTACATTCTTCTCTGATGTAGACCTGGAAAAAATGTAGAATTGTAGACATCTACATCGAATCTTTATGTAGAAATAATCTTTGTGTAGATTAGATTTTCTATCTTCATATAGAATCGATCTTTATGAAGAAAGTTTCTTAGCTAGACAAAAACTATTGAAGAATCTACATTCTTCATCCAGTGTAGACATCTATATTTGCAACACTGATTCCATTTATTTTAGGTGGTATATGGAATTAAGTTTTTTAAAAATAATATGCTCAACTACACACGTGAGTCACTAATGAGTAAAGATTGATTCTAGTTTATTCATAAAGCATGTTTTTAAATATATTAAGATCTAGTATCCTCCAACGGCCTGAAACTATACGTTGTTTTGATGAACTTGGCATCGAATTTCCGTCACGATTTTTCGGAACTAGCTTTTTTCATCTAGGTAAACAAATGTCAAGCTATAAAAACGGAATAATGATCAGAAAAATTTCTTCATTAACAAACACAGAAAACCTGCAATAAGAAAATAATTTTCAGTTGATTGGCTTATCAAACGACAAAATTATTACAACAACAAATTTTCCCTCCGTATCAAACAACCAGTTGTTGCGGAAGTTCTAAATATAAATAGCGATTTGATACCATTTTTCTGCTTTCGTGTGCTTGCTCATGCTTCAGTCATGACGTCGACACGAGTGTAGAAATTAATGGAAATGGTTGGGGATGTAAGGAAAAAGTGTGCGACAAGTTGTGTTTCTATAACAAACAAAGAAAATAATTGTGGACACGTTTTGTGGCTAAAATTAAAGTCAAAAAGTCGTTGAAATAGGTTTTTGGATGTCAATCATGCTTATAATAAGCATGAAATTGCCGTTGCGCTCAATAAGGATATGAAAAAGTTGTAATGCACAGCGGAGTAATAAAACATGTTGTATTTTATGGTCTGTAAGGTTAGAGCAATTTACCCATTGAGTCATGACCTCTCAACTAAGCTGCTACCATAAATTATACTCGTAAGGAACTACAAAGTTCATCTAAAGTGCTAAAAAAATAGAAATCGGGAAGGAAGTGAAATAAAAAGTCAGAAAATTTCTGCTTTAGTCTTTCTTTCCTCTATCACGCTCATTCCTTCCATTTCTCGTTTAGTCTCATTATACATATCGCATACATATTCTTACATGCAACTACACTATATATATATAAAAAAAATAATTCAGCAGTTGATGGGGTGGAAAGCATAATGATAATCCAAATAGAAGAGAGAAAATCCCCTCCAGCAAAAAATTCATTTACACTCACTTCTTCTCACCCACTTTCATCACTTGTTTGCCTTTTGGCATGCTTCAACTTGCTTCTTTATATCCTTATACTTTTTTTTCACTAACAAACTTCCCTTTTAACAATTTCTCATACCACAGGAATTTACTCTATCGTTCTTTTAAATTTGCAAGTGGTTTTGCCTTTCTATAAAAGATGAGAATATCGAGAATATCTATATTTATAAATTTGTATACGATGGGATGAAGGAATGAACGAAATGAAATGAAGCGAATGTGGTTTTTGTCTGGAGTTTATTTTTAAATGTATCGGGGGTGCTGCTTTATAATGCATTTTCTTCTTTTCTTGTCTCATTTTAAGGATTCATTCCAAATCATTTGGGTTGCTTAATTCTATTGGGAATAGACGTGATAGAGCTGATCATTTGTCTGTTTATGCGTCTTTTATGGTAGGAAGCTTAATTAGTTTAAGGAAATGTTTAAATGGATATTTTAACAGATCAAAAGAATTTGAATAATATAAGATTAATTTAGTTGCAACCCCCATGAAATATTAATAAATGTCGAATTTTGAGCTGTTTTAATGATATCAACGTCTTTAATTAAGATTGACAGAATTATAACAATTAATTTTAAATGAATCAGCTATAATTTTCAAAAATTCTCAATAAATTACTCAAAGCTGCACAACAGCCGGGAAAAATTGCTGTTGTTAAGTTCTCGAACATTCAAATTTAAAAGCGCCGTTAAAATGTTAAAAATCTCATTCATCGACTCTTCAACTTTACTCTAGGTTTATTCTAAAAAGCAAGTACTCGAATTCACATGCAGGATATATATGCTAGTCGGAATGAGAAAACGAAAAACGAGAATAAAATAAGTGATGAGAGAGCGGAAAAGGAAGATAAAATAATTTTCTTGTGTAGTGCCATTGCCTTTTTCACATTCTTCGATTTATTTATCCTCATATATGTACGGTGTATCCATATATGCTATAAATCACTTCTCTCAAATAAATGATATCATAAATGAAGGAAACAAAATTCGTCATTTGCTTTTAGCGCAGCATACAGTATCATCACTGCCAATTTTTCTATTTTGAAGAATTGCGAAGGAAATGAATAAAAATGTAAGGCAGAAGCAGGAGCAATTTTACCATTTAATACATCCCACGTGTAAACAACAAGTCATCACGCAGGCAATGAATGAAATTAATCGAAAAAGTATATCTACGTGCATGTGTACGAATGTAGGAATAAACGAGACGTGTGTTGGGATAAATGTGTGAAATTGTATGTAGGATATAGTCTTTTTTATGTACAGATATATAGAATAGGGTTTCATCTCACTTCAACATCCATCCAATTATCTCATGACACGTTACAATTTCTCTCATTCATTTCCACATTTACACAAAATTCAGATGAAAAATACTTTATAAATTTTTACGTACTTGATTTGTGGACAGAGTGTGAAGGAATTGGCAGATTGTCAGTGACTTTTAACTTATTTCTAGCCTTAAGTGAGAAGATTGGTATGGTATGGCTAATTTCTGTTTTTGTCAATTTTTTATTGCCTCAGGTCTTACAAAAGAGGGAAGGGGGTCTCTGATAATTTCAATCCTGCAACTTAATGTTGAACAATCCCAAAAGCTAAGATCCCCGAAAAGCGTCATGTTCAATAAATCTTCTTCCCTTTCTTTTTATCAGTGCTGTAAAGATAGGACTGTGTGAAAATTCATTAAATAATCAACGAGAATGTCTGGAATAAACTATAAGCTTTATAGGTCTGATGATGTTTGGATTACTAAAAGTGGAGGAAAATGCGAAAGATAGTAATCACATAATGACCAGAAGCGTACAATAAAAATGATGATTTTCATTTTCGGTGCTGTGTGTGTGATGGATTAACATATGCGGCAAAAATGAACAAGGAATTATTTTTCGTAGGGATTGCACATTTTACGGAAATGTGATATCTTAATTAGATTTCAAACATTTCAACAAAATATCTGTGATGATGTCGACGGGAATTGAAATACTATTGGGATTTGCCATTTTAATGGTAGAGAATTCTTCAAGTAGCCACTGTTGACGCTTCATCTACTACATAATTTATGAAAATTGAAGTTATTATTTCACAATTTATAATCACGAGTTGGGAGGAGCTCGTGTCTATCTGCAATCTCATTCATATAATTGAGATGGAATAAAAAAATAATGCAGGGAACGACAGACATGGAGAGAAGCAATTGAATGCACAACAGCGGTGCTTTATTTCATTTTTTTTCTAGTGAAATTAAAAAATTTCTTTTTTTCATGGCTGGCAATTCTGATTTTTTTTTTCATTATTCTTCTTAATGTCTGTGGTTCTTTTGTGAAAAAGAATAATGAATATTTGACAATCTTAATAACAACAAAAGTGCCGTCTCTTTATATTTAAATATTTTATTTTATTGTAAAGCATCATTTGTAACAGACATTTTTTATTTAAACTATTGTGTCTAGAAAAATTTTGAACTTTAATTGTGTCTTGACTCAATTCAAATCCAATTTGACTGTTAAATATTTAAATAAGGTTATTAGACAAGAATCTGATTATTCTTTCATTATTTCCTTCCACGAAGGTCATAAACTCTTTGAAGAGATAATATTACATCCATTGTAAAGAAGAAAAGTCATCCAAGGTGATTACTTTTCCAGCAAATAACAACACTGTTGCAAAGTCTATTAAATCAATCATAAATGCTGATCATATTAAATTGCAATCTGTAGGAACGGGGTTGTGTTATCATTTCTGTATCTTGTTTTAGTGTCTACCATCATGTTATTTCATCGATACTTTATTGAATTTTATTTATGAACCTTTTTTCATACGGAGAATAAAACGTGTATAGGATAAATGTGTTTGCGACGGGATTTTTAGGCAACATGCCTTTTTTTGATAGGACATAAAGTTATTGTTGCGTTTTTCAAATCAACGAGTAATCTATAATCACTTGCCAACGGCAATTTTATGTAGTTTCCCATTTCCTCTCTCATTATTATTGCAGTACACACTTCTGTTACTGTTCCGCGAAACTTGCTGTTGATTTTCAATCAATAATTTTATTTTCATTAAGTTCGGTTTGTCTGACACTCCTTGGTTCCTTATTCATCCTTATTTTGTGTCCAATTAATTTTTAAAAAATATGTCGGTTATTTTTGAATGTTTTGAATCTTGATTATTTTTGAATTATGTTAAATTTTGAATTTAATTTGACTGTTTTTTTTCAATCTCAAATATTTTAATACAAATTTAAATTTATTTCAATCGTTGAATGTTAAGACATTTTAAAACGAAGACAATCAAAATGCGCACTTGCTAGCCTTAATAACCCATATCAACACTTAATAATTTCACATACATTCCACCAAATAAATTGAACTGGTATGAAAGAATGAAATAAAAACCGTCCGCAACAATAGCAAGCGTGATGCCTGACGAGATAAGTATGGTGTGGAGTGAGGGACTGAATAAAATGGATATTTTGCGATGCACACAATATATAATGTCGAAAATTAAATGAGATCATGATTTGAGGGTTGAATAATTGCGTAATTAAAGGCAATTTGATAATGATTTTCGAGCCTTGTTATCAGAAATGTATAATATTATTGTTTTTTGTGTTAAAAGATGCATTATCTCTCGGAGGTGTGTGTAACAATGAAATTTGCAAACTAAATGCCTGCGCATTGATGCATAGCAAAGCATTATAATAAAATGTTAATTAAGAACTAATGCGAGTGATATTATGTCGTTTTGAATGAAAATTAAATTTTGACGAAATTGGCAATGCCTGTATGCTGTGTGTGATGCCTCAAAGGCATTAATTTTCTGATTCCATTATGTCGCAATTATCCACATCAGTCTACAGTGTCTAATTAAAGTTCATAACGCATGTTTCATGATGATTATTTAAGATATTTTTTATTAACAAGATGTAATCACATTGAGATGGATATAAATAGCTTAATTTTCCAAAAATGATACAAAACTGGTCAATTTTTGTAACTGATCTTCAGCATTCAATACACTAACTCTATCGGCTACGGGTTTCTTTGGAAGTATCAATCGAGGCTGTGGACCGTCTTGTATTTCCCAATCTAAACGCTTGCATGTATCTTCAATCATGTCCTGTGTTAAGTTTGTCATTTCTCCAAAGACATTTTCAAAAATTGATGTATATGCATGACCTATTAATTCTATTGTATCCATTCGGATCTTATCTTTTAACTCGTACATAATCTCTGCAACACTTCTGGACCATTTAAAGTTATCAAGAAGCTTGTAAAGCTCAACAACTTCATTTTTACACAAGCACTGGAAGATTTTATGCATATGCTCTAATTCTTGATTTCCGTTCTTGACTGCCACAGGAATGCGTTTCCATAAGAACCTTGCGTTTACTCTATATTAAATATTATTGAATTAACAAATGGAAGTGCTTAAACTCATTATTTTTTACTCACAAATCATCTAAATAAAGATATGCAGCAAATAATTCATGATAGAGCTTTGTATCTTGAAGGGAATCTTCCAATTCCTGTTTCTCTAATATCTTTACAAGTTGTTCTAACTTTTCTTGAAGCATTTTAGCCTTTAAATAGCCGTAAAACTTAATTAAACTGAATTTTGCAAAATTTCACAAAAAAAAATAATCAAATTTTGAGTTGTTCGACCCTTGTTTACATTCGGTAAAGTTTCAGCCCCGCTATAAATAAATAAATTTAAAAATATTTTAACGGTTGAGAAAAATTGGACAGCATGGGAACCGCAAAAATGTTTTGTGCCTAAATGATCTTTGGCAGAACTGCTCAAATGTTCACTTTATATTAGATTCCATAGTCCAAAAGAAACTTTCTATTTACAAATCACTTTAATTTAGTTTTTATTACTTGACGATTGGACGTACGTGGTAAAAGACATGAAGGTGCTTAATATAAATCAGTTTCCATTGATTCGTAATCGATTCGATGCTCAGTGCTTTAATTTTGTGCGATATTTATCACAAAACAATAGCGATGACTATCAATTCCTACAAAAGTCAAATATGCCAACATATTACTTTCAAAAATCGCTACCGAGACTTCCGATTCCTAAAATAGAAAAGACTCTCGAGAGATATTTAGCAGCACAGCGGCCACTTTTGTCGGATGAAGAGTATAAATTTACCGAGGCTGCCTGCACAAAGTTTGTTAAATCAGGTAAATTATAAAAAAAAAAATTTTTGTGATAATCAGAATTAACTGATAAGGCACACAAAAATCTCTTATCAGGTGGTTGGGAGCTGCAAGCAATGATTAAGGAAAAAGACAAAGTCAACAAACATACATCATACATATCGGAACCGTGGTCTACCATTTATCTTAAAGATAGATCACCATTACCAGTCAATTACAATCCATTACTGCTCATGAAGCATGATACACGACCTGAATATAATGATCAAGCCATTAGAGCATCAAATGTGATTATAAGCTCAATGAGATTTATGAAATCGCTTAATGATCAAATTTTGGTTCCCGAGATTTTTCACATGGATGCCTCGAAGACAGACACTGATGCTTTTAGGTCTAAAATCATGAAGTTTCCATCATTCATTGCGACATATGCTGCTTATTTTTATAAAGCATATCCACTTGACATGGTGCAATATCAAGGTTTATTTGCTGCAACTCGAATTCCAAAACGTGACAAGGATGTAATTGAGAGATTCAAGAATGTCAAGCATGTGCTGATTATGAAGGATGGACACTTTTACGCTGTTGAAGTGCTCGATGAAAATGGAAATATCCGCAATCCAGAATTTATCTATTCACAAATTAAGTACCTTATGTCCATGAATGTTCCTGAAAACGAGGATCCAATTGCTGCCTTGACAACACAAAATAGGAGACTATGGGCGGCAGCAAGGAATCATTTAGTGTCAATAAGTAGCAAAAATGCAGATAGCATGAAACTTATTGATTCAGCGCTGTTTTGTCTTAATTTAGACAATACAACATTAAATGAGAATGATCCAGTTCCAACAATCAGGAGCTTCTTATTTGATGAATGTAAGAATCGTTGGTATGATAAATCATTGTCAGTAATTGTCGATAAATCAGGAACAACAGGAATCAACTTTGAGCATTCTTGGGGCGATGGAGTTTGTGTTTTACGATATTTTAATGAAATTTATAAAGACATGCAGAACAAGCCTTTTGTGACGCCAAAAACTGAATATGTTCAAGGTGTAGAATCGTCAGTAAGAATGATTAAGTTCGATATTGATGCACAAGCTAAAAGTGATATAGATGCAGCACTTACAGCTCATAAGGAAGTGATTAATTCGATCGACATGAATTTCTTAAAATACAGCAAATTGAATAAAGTTCAATGTAAAAAGTATAAAGTAAGTCCCGATTCCATCATGCAACTTAGCTTCCAACTTGGATACTTTAAGCAATATAGGAAGTTTGTAGCTACATACGAGAGTTGCTCGACTTCCGCTTTTCGTCATGGTCGAACGGAAACGATGCGTCCATGCACAAGCGAAACAAAAGCATTCATTGAAGCTATTGAGGGAAAAAATCGACCATCAAATAAAGAATTGAGAGAAATGATTGACAGATGTTCAACAAAGCACTTTAAGTTGACAAAAGAAGCAGCAATGGCGCAAGGATTTGATAGACATTTATTTGCACTTAAAACTGCAGCTGAAAGAATTAGAATTATTGATGATTTTGATCTGTTTAAAGATCCAGCTTATACAAGAATCAATCAAAATATTTTATCCACAAGTACTCTGACCAGTAATGGGCTCTTAGCTGGCGGATTTGGTCCAGTTGTTAAAAATGGTTATGGGATCGGTTATAACATTAGTGATGAGCTTCTTGGATGTGTCGTATCCAATTATAAAAGTGAAACGAATGGTAAAGAATATGTTGACTTATTGGAACAATCTTATGATGACTTGCTCAACGTCATACAGGCTAAATGAATGAGATAATAGATATTATGTATGTTAAGTACATGTTGGGTTGATTGGGTAACTTTCTTTTAAACATATTTTATATCTAAACGACGATGATCGTTGCAATAAATTATACATGGGCCTCGTCACAAAAAAATTGTACGTGAGTGACGCTTTGTTTTTCTTGATTATCTCCTTATCCTTAAAAGTGACAATTTATAAGTTACTTATCTTTTGAAAAGAGAATTAAAATCCCCATCTATTGTTGTACAATTCACTTCATGGATGTTTACAGTTGCTCGAAAAAATCACTTTAACTAAGCGTCACTCACGTACAATTTTTGGGAATTTTGCTATATCTTCATTATTGTTTATTGATATATCTCCATATAAATTTTTTTAGATCCGAAATTCAATTCTGCTCTTTTTGAGTTTATATAAAATTTAAAATTGCTGCATTAACATACCCAAATGGACAAAATTAAGTTAAAATTTTTTTAACGGTTTTAACTTTTTTGAATTCTTTCGGTTGCAATATATTTGTTTACAAACAAAATCGAAAATGAAATTTGAAAAGTCACGAAAATATCACTCAATAATGATGTAAAAGCTCTTAAAATAGTTGGAACAGCTAATGCATCATCTACTTTTTGTTTTCAAATCATAATATTTGGGATTAATGATTGAATAATTAAGAATTTTAAGAATTTAATTTTTGATGTTTTGTATGATAGTGTTAGTGAAAAATTCAAATTATTTTTTTCCGTTAAGCAAAAATCCTTAAAAAAACGTGTAGGCCCACATAGTATGAAATTACATCACTAGATTTTGTTAAGCGATAGTGTATGCCTTACTTAGTGATCAAGTTTTGATTTTAATTTTATTTGAATATTTAACGATCTTTAAATTCCTAAAATTGACAAAAGACTTCTTCTTAGAGATTGTACCTTATCCATATCGCATTTACCTCTTTATTAACCAAAGGAAATAACAAAGCCTCTTCTATTGTCTTGTCTACACTAAGAATTGTGGTACATGTTAAAAACTTTTTAATAAATTAAATTATTTTCACACAGTTAAAATTCATTGTTAAAACCCATTTATCATAAAAGAATAAAAGAAAAGACAGATCATTAATTATGTATGCTGTTTTATTTGTTTGGCTATTTAATTTTTGTCCACGAAGATAAGTTTCCGTGGTCTTTAATTTCTATTTGATTCTCTTTCATTTTACTTCTAATCTCATCACAAATTATAAACATTTCCTTATTTTTCGACTCTTTAGCTCTAATTCGGATGTCATTTCGTACTTTTATGATTGAATCAATCACATTCTCAATATGGACTTTATCGCATGTCTCTTTTGATGAATTACTTTCACTAATGCCAAATGTGCTGAATAGTTTATCGATGTAATTTAGGACAGATTGAAGTAAGACTTTATCAAATGCTGGCGAATTCGAGCTCAAATGATTGTCTGTGCTGTTTATCATTTTACTTGTCATTTTCATTAATTCAGACACGTGACCAATACAAACCGCTGTATGGAAGTCATCTTTTAATGCTAAATCGACATTCTTCTTACATTCAAAAAATTGACTGCCCAACAATTCCTCATCGATATATCCATCGACTTTAAGTCCATTCATAAATGCTTTAACGTCTGATTTAAATGAGTTTAATCTTTTTAAAATTTTATCAGCAGTGTCCATGAGCTCTGGACCAAATTCTATAGATGATCGATAATGTGACAATAGACATGCCATTCGGAACTGATCACTTGAATACTCTTTTAATAAGTCCTGTATGCAAATTGTGTTTTTCAGTGATTTAGACATCTTTTCGCTTTGTCCTTTTAAATGCAAATGACCCGTGTGTATCCAGTTTTGGACCCAATCGCCACAATTGTGATAAACGCAACTTTGAGCTTCCTCATTTTCATGATGTGGGAATTTTAAGTCGATTCCACCTGCATGAAAATCAAGTTGTGATCCGAAAATTAAACTAGCTAATGTTGAGCATTCAATATGCCATCCTGGACGTCCTTTGCCATACTTTGATTCCCAATAAGGCTCATTCTCTTTGGCAGCTTTCCATAACGCGAATTCAGCTGTAGATGGATCATCTAAGACGACATTATGAAGTTTACCGTAATTACGATAGCATGTTGTTTTAAAGTATACTGATCCATCAGTTCCGATTTTTGTAAACTCCTTGTTTTCGATTTCTTCAATAAACTCTAAAATCTCTGGAATCTTGTCTGTAACTCTTAATTTAATGTCTGGATGTTGTACATTCAACTTATTTAAATCCTCCCAAAATTCAGCTTCATATTCTTCAGCCAGTAGCTTCCAATTTTTGCCGGTTTCATGACTTCTTTTGATTATTTTATCATCAATATTCGTTATGTTCATGCATGTTACCAAATTTATATTGAAATGATTCCTCAATATCCTCTGGATTATGTCTAGTCTAACATATGTAGAGGCATGTCCAATATGAGCACTGTCATATACTGTTGGACCACTGGAAGGGATCAAAATTTAATGAAAAGTTCGTTTACTGAATGTCAACTTTTTTTTACCATGTATACCAAGACGAATAGAGGGGATTTTTCAGAACTAATGGCACTTTATGTTTGTGTCTATAACTATATACCTGAATTCCGTCTGTTATCTCATGACAAAACCTTCTTGATGAGTTAAAATTGATAAAAGTAAACTTTAATGTTTTTAAGCTTGAAAACATTTTTATGGTTCTAAAATGCACTTATTAATGTTCTAAGGAGTTATTTTGGTTACTATTATGTCTAGCTGTCTAGATGTTTAAGTAAAGGCTTGAAATGGTAGTTAATTTAAATTTGTTTTTAAAATGGTTTTTGAAAGAAATTTGACTTTTTGAAAACATCTTGAAAATAAAAATGTTTGCATGGGTTTTACTCAGTTTTGCTAATCATGTGTCAATTGTGGATACTACAGCTCAATTAGAGAGAAAATGGCATATACAATAGGCATCAATATGCTAGAATTATTTGTAAAATAAAATTTGATAACCAACATGAGTGATGAAGGATTGCAATCAAACTATTCATGAACATACATATTTAAATTCCATAATTCTGTTAAGAGAAAATTAATCATTAGAAATTAAATCGCGCTTAAAAGGCTTTATAAAATTGGTAAACTTAAAAGTATTAAAGAATTAAACATTTCTAAGGCTCCGATAGCTCATAAATTCCCTCTCAACTTTGTATAGAAGCGCCTCAACAGCATTTTTTATGTATAAGTGACAAAAGCAAAACACAAGAAAATTGAGAATCAAGAAAAAATTTATTTTCGATTATTTGAGTGTTTTAAGTGACAAAGTTTCAATACAAATGAATAGTAATGAATAGTTTAATCAAAATTATTTGATAACTTCACATCCTTTCACATTGTGCCGATTCAATTTCTTTAGAATTTTACTGTGAAAAAAAACAAGACTGAAAAAAATTTTAAAAAAAAACCCAAAAAAAACTATGGAAGAGGTCGAAAAGTCAACTCAGCTTAAAAAATGTGCATCACTTAATAATTTAATTCAAAATAATCAGTCGACTCAAATGAGTACTACACAGTCACAAAATAATCCTGCACAAAGGTAAGTGATTTAGGGATTTAATTTTTATTTTATTATTTTTGTAATCAACAAAAAATCTTTAAAAATGAGATTTTTTTCACATTTTTTGTTGTTGTTACTTCTTTTTTAATCAATTCAGAGATCATCTGTCGTTATCGCTTTTTACTCCAAGAACACGACGTTTTTCTTGTTCTAGTAATGGTGGTAATGTCTCGAGTGTTAGTCCAGGACCTCGTTTAGCACCCAGAGTATCTCAATTAAGACAGGAGGAATGTGCTGATTCCCAAAATGTTAGGGAAGTTAATCACGAGAGGGAGGTGCATACAGCACTATCAATTTCACAAAGCTATGAGGATCTCACACTAGTTATGAACGAAAATTGGTCATTTAAAAGCCAAGATGAATTCAGTAATCCCCTTCATGTATCATTACCAAATAATAATTCATGTTCGTCTCCTTCGCCAACGAGGTATGTACTCAACTGTAATTGAATATTAAAAACCACAAAATTGTTATTCTGGATTGAGTTTCAAGTCTAATTCTGATTTTATATTCTAATTTTATTTCCAATATAGTCGTCAAAGTGTCATGCGGTTATGTCCAGCAATGTCACCATCTCCAACACGGAGAAGTTTTGCAACGCGTCGTAGTATGTCCCCTATTGCAATGAGGCCCAGTCTTTTAGGCTCCGTCAAACGGAAATTCGATATGGTTGATGATGGAAATTCATGTTCTAGCTCATCGCAACCGTACAAAAAGTTCTTTACAGAAAGGTAATTAAATTATTGACTAGCGTTATTAATTGATTGACAGCGTTGTTTTTAAGGAGTTGGAGCTGCATTTTGACAATAAAACCGTCAAATGTATTTTTTTTAAAAAATAGCAAAGACACAATATACTTGCGTCTGAAACTTTTAAAATTCAAATTTCAGTTAAAATATTAATATAATCTAAAGCGCATTTTGATATTTCCATTACTTGTTGCTTGTTGTTTATGCAGTTTACACGCCCACACGATAACAATCTTTTTACTAATATATCAATTTATTTTCAATTTATATAGTTACAGTCGCGGTTCATCACCAGTTATGTCACCATTACCAATATGCCCCAGCCCAGACGACTCATGTACCAATAATAGTGAGACGTTCAGCGGTCGAATTACACCAAAGATGTTTGTTACAAAAGCCTTCACTTCAACATTTAGCTCCATGACTTCGTCACCATTGTCGACACATTCATTTGAAAATGACACGCCTAGTCCATCAGCTAATATCCCGTTATCTTCGTCCTCATCCTCTTCTTCTTCGTCGTCAAAAGAGCAGGATCGAATGGAAGTAGCAAGCACATTAAGTGCTGATAGTGGTGTAGATACAAATATTGATCTTGGATGTGAATTGACAACGAACGACGTGGTACAAAATGATTCTGTTCTAAAAGATACCGATAGCACTAGCAAGGAACGAGATGAAATGATTATCGAAGAAGAAATTACTCCTTCAAATATACCAATGACGTTGTAGACTTTTTAAGTTTGTTTATTCAAAAATTAATAATTCTGAATTATCCTAATTAAAAATTGAATATATGTGAACACACACAAAAAAATTGACTCACACATATTAATCAATAGTCAGCTCTGCTTCTCTATTTTCTCCATGCTTTGATTAAGTTTAATTTAGAGTTTTTTAAAAACAAAGCAAATCTGATAGCGCATTTTTGTGATAAAAAATATATGCTTTGATTTTTTGTGCATGTATTGTAGGCATGCATAATGTCGTTTGCTTTTTAATGGTTAATTATGGACAGATTCGTTTGGTAAATGACTTTTTGGTGCATTAATTGACAACTGCATTGATTTCCGTTATAAGCTACTACTCGTTACTAAGCTACTAGTGAGCCAAAAAAAAAATCACTTTTGTAAGGGGCTGTTCACTTATTACGTAACGCGAAAAAATGACTTCTTAGACCCCCCCCCCCCCCCCCTCGTAACAAAATTTGTATGAAAAAAAAATTTCCTTGTTTGAATCGCAACAAAATCTTAGACCCCCCCCCAACCCTCCCACTAAAAGCGTTACGTAATAAGTGAATGACCCCTAATCTACTAAGCTCCTAGCTTATAACGAAAAAGCAGGATACCTAGCTTGAATTTTAAATTTTGTTTTATTTTGAATTTTTGAAAACCGTTTGAATTTGTATTTTTGAAAACCGTTAAAATTCAATTAACACCCAATTGCTAATTAGCAGCTTATCTTCAGGTGTAAGAATTTATTTTCGTGATTCAACCTTATTAAATTTTATTCTTTGTCCATATTAAAGTCGATTGAATATGGAAATTTTGATGATAAAATGTTTCTGTTTTTTTGCGACTAAGCGCGAGAGAGTAAAATTTAAATGCGCAAAAATTAAAATCATTTACTGTCATTGAACTAGAATCTAGAATTAACAAAGGAAGAGAAATAATTAGAACGAGCAAATTAACACAAAATATTATCAAAAAGAAATAAATAATATGTGTGGGCGACTTGTTCATGTTATCAAACATAAATAACTACATAAAATAATCACATTTCATTGGGAAATAAGCATAGCATATGAATATAAAAATTAGAATGAGAAATACACAATCAAACCATTATTTAACGACGTCACATAATATTCGATAACCATGGAAGGAACTAAAGGAAATAAGAAGTAGAATCGAGTTTAAAGCGTAGATTCTAAGCTAGTTATTAATAATTTATGTTATCAAATAGGATAATTTTTTTTTCAATTGTGAAAAAGGATAAAAAAATATTTTTCTAGTTTGATGATAAATCCAAAAAAAAAATGATGTGTGAATGTTGAAGCCTGCTTTTTATTGGATGCCAAATTTATTAGGTATAGGTCTTTAATCTGGAATTGTAAGAAAGTTTTGTTGATATGACTTGTAGATTGAAAATTTTGAAGCTTTGTGCTGTGGATTTATAATTATCTCTAGGAACAAAAAGAAAAATCAACTAAAGTAATATTAATAATGAAAAAGTATTTCAAAGAAATAACAGTCAAAAAATAACAGTTAAAATATTTTTGAAAAGTAATTAAGTTCGATTTCTATTTTTAAAATTCTTAAAACGTATTTTTCACAAAACATTACAATAGAGACATGCCTAGCATTAGAATTTGAAAAAGTCCACAGCACAAAACAATATTAATTCCTTAATATGCTTACAAAAATATGACAGACTATTCAAATAAACTTGATTTGCACTTAATACTTGTTTAGTTTCTCATATCATCCACGACAGAAAAAAAGTGAAGAAAATTCTGTAAAAGTTAAAATCGAACGTTAATAAAAAACGAAATGAAAAAGAACATTTTTTTTCTCTATTGAAAGTATTTATTGCGTTTCACACATGTTACTTCTTTTTATTATGTAAAATGATCCTTACAGGCTACTTATACAATGTGCTTAAGTGAATTTCCTTGTTTATTTAAGCATATTTGCATGTAAATTAGATTTTAATATTTGTGATTTTGCCGACTCTTTACATGTCCTCAAATGATTGTTCAAATAGTTTAATACTGAAAATTTCTTGTCACAAAACATGCAGGAATAAGGACGAAGTCCTGTATGTATGCGTTGATGCTGAGTTAATGTGTTTGACTGTGAAAATGCTCGTCCGCATAAATCGCATTTGAACTGAAATTCGAGTCGAAAATTTAATACAATTACACAGGAGTTAAGGAACAGAATAACTCACCGGCTTCTCTTTCGTATGTGTTCTCAAATGGCGCTTATGATGATCGGATATGGCAAATTCTTTGTCACAAAATTGGCACCTGTATGGCTCGCGATTTGTGTGAGAAATTTTATGAAGCAGCAGCTGACTACTTGCACTAAACGTCAGATCACAAACATCACATCTGTGTGGCTGCAAAATTAAGAGAATTGAAGTTTTGTTAAAAACCGTTAAATTAATTTTGAATTTTAAAAATGTGTCTCGACTATAAATTTAAATTCAAAAGGTTCGTTTACGCACCTTAATCTCCTTATGTACTAAATAATGTTGTTTTAATGATGATGGCCTTGAGAATTGCTTATTACATCTATGACACTCGAAAATTTGATTATATGATTCGCCATATGCTGGCGATTGTTGTGACTTTTGTTGAACTTGTTCCTTCTTTATTTCATTCTGATGAATTTTTCGCTTATGAAAACCTAGAGAGCTTGATTGTGTGTACGATTTTCCACATAAATTGCATTTAAAATGCTTTCGATTATCCAAACTATGACGTTTTGTGTGATTGCTCAATTCATCGGACGACGATAGGATCTCATCACATGTTTCACACTTGAATTGATTAATATCACTTGATTCCCGTTTTGTTGTCATGTAGTTGTTTGATGATGGATTACTATGGATTTGTTGATTCTGTGGTGGTGATTTACATGTTCCTGAAAATTAGCATGATAAATTGAATTTAAAATGTTAACAGTAATTTGAGATTCAAATTATTGTTCGGAACAAAGTATCTCGCCCCTTTAATTTGAAATGAATTTCCAGTTTGATCTTGAATTTAATAGAGCGAACATCGCACAAAGTAATTTAAATATAATTCAAGACTGTTACTGGAATACTAAAACGCAGGAATTAAAAATGAAGTTGAGAAGTCACAAAATAATCAAAACAAAGCAAGAAACTCTAGAACAAAGCTTTGAAAAGATCAAAATCAAAAGTGAGACTGAAAATGAAGGAATCACTGACGTTTCATGCGAAATAATTGAGCCCAAACCTGCAGAAGATCTCAAAAATCCAAGAAAGAAAGAACCAGATGACGATGAAACATTTGGAATGATAGCAATCAGAGACATCCACAACTTGAAAGGTAGCATTGAAGCTGAAGATCTAGCTCAATTTATTGGAGAACAAGACAAAACTACAATTATTATAGACGACGAAATCAGCGACAATGAGGATTGCGAAATTGTAAGGTTCCCATGTAATATATGTCGACGATCATTCTTGACAGAAAAGGATTTAGATTTGCACAGAAGAAGGCATAGCTGGCCATTCGTATGTAAAACATGCAGGAAGAGATTTGAAAGAGCAAAATTTTTAAGGACCCATCAGCAAATCAAACATGAACTTCCAAAAATTCATGCATGCCCAACTTGTGGCAAGAAATTCACAACAACATCTGCAATGAACGATCATAAAAAATCGCATGATAAGAATCAAACAAAGGCATTCAATTGTGAAGTCTGTAAATTTGCATGTAATGCAAAGAAGAGTTTCAAAAAGCATAAGAAAAGACATCAAAAAGTCAAGTTAGAGCCAAAGACTGAACTTGTGGACGTAAAGATAGAGCCAAAGACTGAACTTATTGATGTGAAGACGGAACCTAAGGTTTTCTTATTTGGAGGATTTAAGATTGGAATGGATTCATAATTTTGAAAATCTAAAAAGAATTTATTTCTAAAGGAAGCTATCCTATTTATTATTTTTAAAAGATTTATTTTTATGCTGTTTATGGCACTTTCTTGGAATCATTTTAAACGTTGATAGTTTTGAATCGTTAAAATTTGATTTGAATTTTTGAAAACTTATAAAACTTGATTTAAATTTTTGAAAAACGTTAAAATTTGAATTTTTTGAAAGTTGTTAAAATTTTAAATAATGAATGAAAAACATACCAATTGCTTGATTGTTATTACTGCTACTATGTGGTATTGCCGGTATATAGTTCGAAAGTATTGGTGTGGCTATTTGAGGAAATTGTTGATAATATGAATACGGTATTTGATGATAAAAATTATCCATTTCACTATTATTGGTCTTTTGTGCAAAATTATTATTAATTTCACTCTTTGACTGCTTACTACTTCCACCCTCTAAATACAATTCAACGTCTTCACGATGCTTATCCAAGAGATGCTCACGAAAATGCTTATCATCAACGACAATTTTCTTACATATTGTACATTTATGAATTTGTTTCATTTCATGCTTACTAATATGTTTTAAATAGCTCAATATTCTCGTAAATGTTCCTTTGCAGAATAAGCACTCAAAGAGAAATTTATTCTTTAATGAAAAGTCTGATGTGTTCTTTGTGTATGCACGATAATCTTCTGTTTTCTGTTGCTCTGTCTGACGGGCTAATGATGATGAGATATGGCTCATAATTTTTAATTCTTTTCCTTATTATTTGACAACTTATGCATGAATTATGATTACTTCTTCCCCATCCATCCATCCACAGCAAATAATAATAATAAGGTATAATCAAGAAATACTTTTTACATTTGAATCATTCTTGATGTTCTTTTGATCAACAAGTCGAAAGAAAATCTGCAAAAAGAAGAAAAATAATAAATTTTAATAAATATCTCAATGCAAGTTTTAAACACAAAAATTTCATTTTCCTTCAGAACAAATGTGTTTGTGGCATAAAGAATATCATTTTAAAATGAACATATGTGAGTATGGAGCATGAAGTCTGCTCCTTTCTATCCCAGTTCTTAAATGCTGCTCTTTCTTTTATGTACAAACATGTGAAATCCCATTTATATTGAGCATATATACAATAAAATATAAAGATAGGGATTTCGGGACGAACGATGAAGGAAGAAGAGCAAGAAAATAGCAGAGATAAAAATAAAAATAATATTATACATTATTGTCATAAAATTAATGCTTGTAGGATAGAGTTTATGCTTTTATGCTCGGTGTACATAGCATGCATGCGTTATTTACGGAACCTGTTTTAAGACATGAATTTGTATAGTTAAGGACTGTAAAATTTAAAAGTTTTAAAAACCGTTTTTAAGGACGTTCACCTAAAGTGAATAAACTTTAAAATTAAGCGTAAAGCGCTATGAAGGACAATTAAAATGTATTTAATTATTAAGGATAAAAAAGATCGTAAAAAAGACTTTAAAGTAGGATTGTGCTGTATTTACAATTCCTTCCATCTTTTCATTATATAGACACACATTAATGTATTATTTCAATAAAAGAGGGATTCAATAAACTTTATGAAAGTGAAATTTAAAACAACGTTTTAATAACAGGCTTCAATGAGAGGCTAAAGCTATAGAAAAAACACTACTCAACTACTCACACTCGTTACGACTTTAAATAAATAAAAATAAGTAGTTTTTTCAAAAACAATTAAATTGAATTGAATTGCATTTATATATGAAGAAGCGGACTAATCATACAGGCATATAACATCATTGCATATTGAATAAAAATGAAATAATAATAAAAAAAAAAAAAAAACCTATAAAATATATATTTTTATTCGCAATGTTATGCTGTATGCATCGAAAAAAGTATGTTTATGCATGAACTCTAAATAATGAAATACAAATTTGTTTAATATTCATGACACTACTGCATTATGCACACGTTTTTTATGGGAGTTGTACAGCTAACCCAAGTCAAGTACTCCCATCGTTGAGAGTCCCAACAAATCATATTATCACAATTAAGATCCCTTAATTCATTTCCACACTGTATCATCACATTGGATGAGTTTATTTTGGAGCAAATGAAAAATGGCAATTGATCCTTGAACAGTTAATGCACACCCGAATTTCTTTGGGGTTCAGAAGGGGGTATCATAAAAACATTTGAAGTTTGTCAAGTTTTACACGTCTTAAACTTTGTTTACAAAATACTTTTAAAATTTAAACCTGAATAGCCTTGTTCTTTAATATTTAAAATTATCATTTTTATTGAAGCTATATCTATAAATAGATTTGCCCAAATAATGAAAGTTTTAAAATTATACCAAAATGAGTACCAAACTACAATCTTTAGGAGACACTTTGTTAAAAATGGATCTTATGTACAAGAGTAAACAATGTTTAAAGATTCTTTTATTTCAATGCTGTGTACATAGCGACTTTATGCAAGCAGGGAAAAGAAGGAAAAGGAAGGCAAATACTATCTTCAGAATTGCTTAATTCTGACACTTTTGAACCACAAATTCACTTGTTACTGACTTGATTGTTTAATATACAGCTAGATCATGTAATTTCAATGTTATCTTTTTACCTAACATCCATAAATTCACTTAAGATATGTTAAAATAGCAATTTTCACAATTTTGTCATTTTTCTTTAATATTTCAGATCAATCTTGATCATTAACACACTTATCGTACTTAATGTCAATGGATGAAATGTTACACTTTTAATATTGTACTATAAGCAACGCAATTTCTTTAATTTTCAATCCTTTTGATTTTCACTGAGAACTCTTATAAGACTAAAATTGAAAAACATAGGTGGGAAGTCACTCATATGAATTGGTTTTTATAATGTTTAACAAAGGATGTTGTCGTCCTTGTTAAATCATTGATTTCATTAGAGTTTAAGCTGGTTTAATAAAGAATTGTCCATAATATTCACAATTTTTATCTGAATTTTCAATAATTTTCCGACAAAACAAATATTTGAAAATTTCAGTTGCTCAAATTTGAAAAAGTGCTGGTAAATGTTGCGTGGTTGATTCATGCGAAAACTTTTTGTTTTCACAATTTCTGTCTTAAATACTCAATGTCATCTAACAAATTCTTATTAATATATTATAGCTCAACACTGGATTTAAAATTTCAGTAAAGACTAGGTCGACACATTCCGATTTAATAAATTTTAAAATGATTATAACAATGTAAACAATCATAGTTGACTTCGAATCATTCGATCAGCTGTGAATTCATTGTTTTCTTTTGTTTTCAAGTTCGCGATTAAAATAATTCATTAATTTGTGCTTAATTCAGTAGTTTCTAGAGATGGCAAACGAAGAAGTGTTTGACGATGACTTTTATCAAGAAGATTTTTCAACAGCCTCAGAATTTGAGGCTTTTATAAGTCGTTTAGGTGATATTTTTGAAACATATGAAGTTGTGGATGAAGAGGCATTAAGTTCTAATGAGTTGTCACTCTGTGAATGGACTGAAGAAACTGAAGACATTATGTTTAACGATTTTAACTTGTCAGTAATAAGATACAAAGCCAAAATAAAGCCACGAGAGACGGAATCATCAAAGGCTATCAATCAAGTATTTCAGGATTTAACTAGTCAGGAAAATGATTACAGCTTGCTGGATATGAACTATCTGAAGCATGATTATGAAGTGTTAAATGCCCCAAAGTCTCCTAACATTCATCCAGTTGCTGTATTTTATGGATTACGTGATTTTGTGGTGCTTAAAAGTAAACGAAAACCATTGATGGATATAAGCCAAATGAAATTGCTACAAAGCTCTTTAAGCTTAGCTATAAACGAAAGCAAATGCAAGATTCCAGCTTTTATTCAAGTTTTATATCATGAACAGGATGTGTTTTTAGGAATTTATGATGCAGGAGAACAGAGATTGTCATTTGATATTGCTCACCTAAAAACAGCACCTCCGTCATGCAAATATCTTTCTGGTCTTCTTGACATGTTTAAAGGAAAAATTGGTGTAAATTATATTAATCCCGTAATGGTTAGTGTCTGTCTAACATACAGTTTAAAGAACTTTTTATCAGCAACTTATTCGAGTGACAAGAAGAATGAAAATGATGATTGGGATGTTGTGGATTTTATCAATGTCATTTCATCTCTACCATTTGGAGTTTCAGCAGATCCAGTCAATGAATTAATTCTTTATACTAAGTGGCCCCAAGTCAGCGAAAATGTTGTCTTTGACTCCCAAACTTATTCTGATTTTAATCCAATCAATGCACAGAAATGGAGTATTCGTACACGATTTGATTATTCGCCAGTCTGTTATCTCGCTGACATGCTTCATGAATATCTAACATTAACAGAATCACCAGAAGCTCTCTCAGAATATTATAACTTTTTAAGTTCAAAAGCTCGAATTAGTGAGGCACAAAATCCATTCTCTGCTTTAACTGATTCAAGAATCCCTGGATTTTCGGGAATGTCATTGCTTGATGGATCTTATACGATTGACGGACCCCTTAATGAACATCAACTTGGTAAAATGTTTCAATATTTGCTGCCAGACGAGGATGATGAGAAGAAGTTTGCATACGGAGATCTAAAGGACGAACCTGTAAGTGATAAACAGCTTTTTAGTGCTAATGACTTTGACCACGAAAACGGATTAAACACATTCTTGCTAGCCCTTTTTAGTTGTGCAAAAATCCAAAAACAGCACTAATGTGACCAAGGCCATAGAACTCCCAAAATAGTATAGCCGTGAGTGAGCATTGTGCAGTAACGTATACAAACTATTGCGTAAAATTAAGTTAATATGAGCAAAGTGTAGTTAAATATTGTAAAGTGAAGCAAAGTTAACCAAAGTATAGTAGAATGTTGCAAAGTGTAGTAAAAGTGTAGCAAGTGTAGTAAAAGTGTAGCAAGTGTAGTCTAAGTGTGCTAAAGTGTTGCAAAAGTATAGTCAGAATAGTAAGAGTATAGCAAGTGTAGCAAAAGTGCAGCATCGTAAAACTTTAAAAACCAAAATGTTTAAAGTTGATGTGCATTAATTTTGAAATAATGTATATTTTACCATACAATTTATTTATAAATTGTCAATATTATCGCAACTTAAGAACCGCTTATTATTTGAAATTTCATGCATTAAAATTCTTTTAAGTCTTGAAAAAATATTAACAAATATAAAATGAATCTTTTCTCATATAAAAAAATAAAACTGTTAAACTAAATTCAAATATTTCAACATTAAGGATCGTCGAAGAACAGTAACGAAAGAAAAGCGCACTCATAGAAATAATTGTATGGTTTTGAGGAATATCAAATATTCAAATATGTACAAATTCTAATATTTTTTCTATGAGTGTGAGAATCAATGTTTTTGATATTGTTGGTTTTATGGAAAATGAAATGTTATCAACACTTTTGGTACTTATTCTTAAAAGTTTGTTGGAAAGTTAATCTTGTTGTAGAGCTTTTTTAAAAATTTAAACTTAATACAAATGGTCCTTATTAGTTTTTTAATGTAAGGTTGCGTGAAAAAATCAAATTCGAGAAGACATTCTTAAAGCTAAAGCAGAATTTTTCATAATTTTTTAATAATCATTAAAAAACATTTCTTCTGAATTTTAAAATAAAGTTTTCAATTAAAAATGCTCATTTTTAAAAACAAAAGTACAACATTTTAGGTTTTTTTTGAATTTTTCAATTTTTCTGTACTATACTTTTATTTTTTCTGACAAATTTCTTTACAAACTTAAGGTTTTAATTAGAAATTTCTTTGACATAAATGAAATTATTTCTGCCTTAGCAGCATTAGTGGTTTATATTTTTGTAAGCATTTTCTCTTTCATCAGCTAAATTAAGTTTAACATGATAGAATAATAAACAAATAAAAAAAGAATATTTTAAATTCTATAACCTTTAGTTAAGTTTTTAAACATTTTCTTTTATATTTTTAAAATGTTTGCAAATTTTTTTTTTGAAAGTATGAGTATAACTTATTAATGAACCACATGTTTAAGAGACCTTTAACTATTTAGATTGAAATTATGCAATAATTAATTTGATTAAAAATAAAGTATAGAAAAGTAGGAGTAAAGTGTAGTAAAGTGTGGTAAATTTAAGCTTAGTGTGGTAAAGTATACTAAAGTATAGTAAAGTAAAGTAAAGTAAAGGTAAGTGTACTTAAGTATAGTAAAAAGGAAGAAACAGGAGTTAAGTGCAGTAAAGTTTAGTAATTGCAGTGATTGTGATACTTTGTATAGTAAGTGTACTGAAACATAAGTAAAAATTTGTAAAGTTGAGTAAAAACGTAGTGATTGCAGACATAGTGCAGGGAGTTCTATGGCCTTGAATGTGACCTTAAAAATCCCCAAAGCTTTCAATTACCTTTTAATTAACCAATAAATAATTTTCCATTAAATTCTATTCGCACAGTTCAATCCACAAAAAATAAAATCAGCCATACCAGATTCATTAGTTCATCGTCTATCAATTTTGTTGGCAAATATTTACACATCATACAGTGGTCGTCGCGGTGTAGCACAATTTTGGGCTGAATTTTCCCAAAAAATGCGCGAGCGTGTTGACAAATGTATGCGGATTCCTGGGTGAGTACACTAAATTAATTACTATCTGAAAGAGTAAATGTTTGAGGGTGAGAATGGCTGTGTGCAAATAGATTAAGCAATAAAAGACAAAGGGTTGTAATTTTTTTGTAAAAACATTTATTTTGATAATAATCATTTTTTTGTTGTCATCCTAAAAACATTTCATGCGTGCACAAATTAATTTTATTTAATTCTTATTCTTACTGTGCAAAATCACTAAATTTAAACTAAGAATCACTTTCGATATTTCATCTTAATACTTGCTTATAATTAGTTTACTTAAATTTTATTCATAATGTGACAATCAGTTTAGAACATAAGTATTTTTTTCGTGGGGGCTGGAGGTCATTCACTTGTGACGTTCCATGTTCAATCATCAATTAATTAGTCTTTATTTCAAAATTCAATGAATCTTATTTTGAAAAAAATAAAATAATAGAATAAAAGTGAAAAATCAGTGAATTAAAATTAAAGATGAAGTTCATAAACCTTAGAAAGAATCAGTACGAAATTCAGAAAATAAGTGAGCCTGATGCAAACATATTATAATGGTTATTTGGTTTTTCCTTGATGTAGAGTGGCTTCAAGAACATATATCGCTTTCTCATAAAAAAGATCTTCGATTACCTGTTCTCACACACAACATTCGCTTAATAATCAGTTCCAATGACGTATCGTGTAGTTTAATGTGAAAAATGAGCCTTTGTTGATTAGGTTTTATCATGTGAGGCTTAATCACAAGCATTTAATCCTGACCCTAAACTGTGGTTCCATTTTATGCTCAGGTGTTTGCTATAAGGAACGTTTTCGGCTCCATCTTAGAATAGAATGTAATGTAGGGTTTTGCTAATAGCAAAAGCGGCACTGCGATCGATGATCTGTTGTACCATCCCAAGTCCCCTATGTTAGAATTCCGATGTCCTTAATGAAGCCAATAATGTCCAGATAATGCTGCTTATTTATATCCTCATCATTCAAGTAGTCCTCATCAAAATGCTTGACACGTTGTACTCGTAATGCTCTGCATTTACAAAGAATATGAATGATTGTTTCCTCATTTACCTTACATCTTGGACTGGCTCCATCTTGGACTGTTCTGATTTAAAGCTTGAAAAGTGAGCATTAATGGAATAAAACACGATTGACTCGTTTTATTGATTGTAAATTCAGTCAGAAAAACCTAAAGAATTTGAACAAAATATTTGAAAATTAATTGTCAAAAACAATTCTTCCAATTTCAATTTAACTTCCTCCTTTACCTTTCATTAACGTCCATACTTCATTTTCATAAACTTCCACCCAACATTCATATCGAGATAGTCAGGGAAATGGACATACAAAAAGTTGATTGATACAAGACTTTTTTGGTCTAATGCGTAAATATGCCGAAATCTATTAAATGATTTAGGTTCAAACCTTCCAACGAATTTCTAGTTATTTTACTAAGTTCCAGAGATCGAAGCCGATTTTTTCGGCTTAACTCAATTTTTGATTTTTTTGATAGAAAAAAGCCATTTGACACCCATTTCAAGTATTTAAATTGAACTTTACATGCTTTACTATGATTCTGTGTAATATTTTGTCAGCATGTAGCTATAGGAAGCTCAGAATTTCAAGTTAAAGAATGTTAAGCCGAAATTTAAGCCGATCGGCTTAAAATCGGCTAAATTGAAATTCTGAGCTCACTATAGCTACATGCTGACAAAATATTACACAGAATCATAGTAAAGCATGTAAAGTTCAATTTAAATACTTGAAATGGGTGTCAAATGGCTTTTTTCTATCAAAAAAATCAAAAATTGAGTTAAGCCGAAAAAATCGGCTTCGATCTCTGCTAAGTTCTTCCTCAGTCATCGTCAACAGGCTTTTACTATTAAGTTTTTTTAAGGTTCTTGCTGGTTCTTGTATGGCAAAAAAAGTTTGAAAAGAAAGAAAATATATTTTGTCTTTTACATAATCAAGCTAATAGAATCAATATACTCAATCTAACCATAAAATTAAAGCAAATCTACTGATTTGAAAAAACATAAAAAAGAGGTTATAAAAATTATAAAAGAAAGACAATTTTAATTGATCAAAAAAGTTTTAATGAACATCATTTGTGAACGACCCCATATGTGAATCTAACATATTTTTAAGAGTTAATTATTTTAATTTATATAATGAATAACAACGAGAATTTCTTAATAATCCTCATGCTCATAAAATTTTGTGACATTTAAAATCTTTTATGGATTTTGATCATGTTGAGAATTTCACTTCATTCAGGAAATATTATTCATTCATGAATTATGTGTGTGGCGGCATACATAACTTCTTCATAGAAATATTCTATAATTTATGAATTACAATTGTTCAAACTGTACGTGAAATAAACTTCGCACTAGTTCATGTTCTATATATTGACCTACGAGTTTATTTAAATCATAAATATTTTTATTGTTCCCGTTGAAAATATTTGATTTAGATTTTTAGTTGCAAAACATTTATTTTGTAGATGCTCGTGATTTATTTTAAATTATTTTTTGCAATTTTTATTAGTATTTTGGTGTTCTTTGCTCGTTATTTATGTAGAAAATGTTTTATTAAATTAGAACTTACATCAATAATTTAAAACCTATTTTTAAATCAGAAATTATTCTCAAAATTAGAAAATTGGTTTAAAATAAAATTGTAAATTTTAATTGTTATTAACGTAATTTATATGTACAGAATTTTTACAATACGAGCTTAAAATATTAAATCTAACCTTAAATCTATTTATGATACAATTCGTTACGATTTCATTCAATTTTCTTTATACACGAATTTATATTATCCCTTATTAATCTAGATTTGTTAACTCTTAACTGTGTTTTCATTTATGCAATTTCTAACTTTGCCATGATATCAGCTGGGGAAATCATGGCTAGAAATTCAATTTATTCAATAAAAATATGTTTTATGTTTAACATAACAATTTCGCTTATATAGCTTTCCTTAAATAAATTTATTATTGCGATAATTCAATTCTTTTCACTTAAATAGGATATGAGGAACATTAATCATAGAAAAGATGAAATAAAAGAAAATGTTCTACATTAGCATTATTCCGTAGTTTTATATTCAATTGTTAACATTTGAAAAATTCTTCGCGTCGCTTTTAGACTTGTTACTCCGTTTACTATAAATTACATCATTCTTTGTCATGAAATAAGAATGAGCTTTTTTTGTGTGTGAATTTTAAATTTCTCCTTCCGACTACTCATTTTATGAATAACTTAAGTTTTTCCTTTTAAAAAACTGGTACTACGATAAAATATTTGCTTCGTAAATTATTGCTAATAAAAACAGTTTCCGCTTTATTATCGCACGTTGAAACTTTTGAAAGCAGCTTTTATGGAGTGGTTATGAAACTCATTTTGGCTTTATAGTCAAAATGTTTTTGGATGATTAAAAGTTTTTTTTGAATTCTTAAAACTTGTTGAAAATTTAAATTAAAAAGTTGTTGAAAATTTAAATTTGAAAAAGTTAAGACGTGGAAACTATCCCAAATATCCCATTTATTCCATATATCCCAAAAATATTCAAAATAATCCCTGAGCCTGTATGCTTTAGAATTGAGATATCCCATCATATCCTGAAATTGCACGTCTAATACACTAAGGATACGTTGGGATATCTTTATTATCGTGTATACATGCTCAGGAATTATTTTGAATATTTTTAGGATCATGGGATAAATATGATATTTGGGAAAGGGGCTGTTCACTTATTACGTAACGCAAAAAAATGACTTTTTAGACCCCCCCCCCCCCCTCGTAACAAAATTTGTATGAAAAAAAAATTTCCTTGTTTGAACCGTAACAAAATCTTAGACCCCCCTCCCCCCCTAAAAGCGTTACGTAATAAGTGAATGGCCCCATAGTTTCTAATCCTTGGTAAAAGCTGTTGAAAATTTATATTTTAAAAAGTCGTTAAAAATATGAATTTATAGAGCTTTAAACTATGTTAAACTTAATATTTCAAAAATCTATTGAAAAACCAAAAATAAATTGAAATTTAGCAATCAGTCAATTTAAATCCATTAAATGCGCTTTATCATCCAGCAACACTAGAACTTACACATGTATTTCTCCATTTCCTTCACTGTCTGTAATATTTTACGCTATGAGAATTTCCCATTCTCATTATTTTGTCGGTGGCTTTAAAGTTTGTACGAGGGTGAGATGTTGTACAGAATGACGTAAACGAGTCTAGCACCTTAAAAATTTAATTCTCACAAATTAGAGAAGTTTTGAAGGTCAAAAAAGCTTTAAGAGCTTTCTAATTAAATTATGCTAATTATTGTAATGTTCTTTTCGTTCCTCATTAAAAAAAAACTTTTTTATGCTTTATAAAAAAAGAAAACATTTTAAATTGACATGAATTTTCCTTAACATGAACGGATCATTTCTCTCCCCCTTCTTTTCACCACGTTTCATCTTCAACTTTTATATCGCGTGAATTTATTTATGGTAAAAGCTTTTAAAAAGCTCATAAAGAAGAAGAAATTTAACATTTAAGATTTACAGAGATTTGTTATAACAATTGTTGTAAAGAACTTTTCTGGTTATTTATATTCCGAAACTGTTTAGGGATAAGCAAAAGAAATGAAGTGAAATTTATACAGTTTTTCATGCAACCTAATAGAGTGCTGTGTGTACATACATATTTTTCAGTATATTTACATCTCATTACTTACGATAAGATTTTCCATTTCTTTTGTTTCGCTTTATTATTTTTTTTTTCGTGAATTACGATAAAGTTTCTCTTTTTTTAAACAAAACTTTCCATTCGTTTTGAGGAGAAAAAAAATGATAAAAACGAGGAGGGAAAAATATGAAACAGAATTACGTCACCCTTTTTTTTACCCAAAGTAGTAAAATTAATAAAGAGCGCATCATGGAAAAGGAGAAAAAAAGAAAATGAAAGCAAATAAAAAAAAAAGCTTTTTATTTTCATAAAACAGTTGTCTAATGAGAATTCATTGTAGATAGAAGAGATAAAAAAAATCAGTAGCAAGTATGTACATTTTGCGGGGTTCTCTTGTTGTTGAAGCATTTTTTCATGGTATCTGTGATAAAATTAAAAATTTTGCATATAGCTAGCAAAGTAATATCGTCATATTTGGCTAACCACCGGGTTAACACCAAGCCGATGATGAACTTTTAAAAATTTCTTATGAACTTTTATTAGTGCTCAAGACAAATTTGTCAGTTTGATGCAGCTCACAAATTAATGAAAATAAGCAATTAATAAGTGAACGATTTAATAAATAACTAAGGTCATTGCCATTCAGTCAATTCAGACAAGTCAAAATAAAAGGATGGCTAGCTGACAAAAAATGGATGATAACACGTCACATCAATTGGGAAAATTAGCTAAAAGAAAAATATTGTCTGCTCTTGTTCTTGTGTATGTGACAGTGTGCGGAGGAGTAACAAGAGATAAGTGCTCATCATTATTTTCATGTTGGTTTTGGCTTCTTCATATTTATTTTGTCTTGAATTAAAAAGAAACAACTAAACTTCTTGGGGAAAATTGAGTAATTACGTCAATCTTAGAGGGAAAATAAAAATATGAGGTCTAAGATATTGTGAAAGTTAAAATTAAATGTTAAAAAGTTTAATTTAGATTTTGTAACAAATTAGGGATGCAAAAAATCGCACCACTAGTCGACGACCCCTTACTTGAAAATAGCTATAAAATGAATGTATGAATGTTCTTAAAAGAATTAAAGAGAAAAAAATTCTTCGAAGGATTAAGCAATAACAGCGACTGAAGATATGCATGGGAATGTGCGGATGGAGTAGCAAGTCAGATGGAAAGGATGTTCATAGTCAGCTTTTGGCTTTTATTTTTTTTACAACATTAAGCAATAAGAAAAGAAAATGTCACAATTTAATGAATATTTATTGGTACAAAGAGCAACTCTGAATGCCTGAAGTGCTTTAAAGAAGAAAAAATTGCACACAAAAAGAATTCCACCACTTCCTTATGACTCGACAAAAGTTCATTATAAGAATTAAGAACCAGGAAAGGGGAGAAAATGCAAAGGAATGTATTTCTCATGCTGGCTGTCAAATGAATTATAAATAATTAGAAGTAGAGAATAAAAAAAGAAGAAATTAATGAATGAAGAATTCTTGAGACATGAAGTGTGCTTTGCACTTTTTACATCCACATTTTGCAGCGTGAAAATAGTTGTGTTTCAACAGAGCTACAAAAAAAGGCAGCTGGTGAAAATAATTGTAAGCACTTTTCACATTTTTCACAAATGTTGGCTGCCACATACACACATAGTGACGTGTATTTATACAGTCATGATAAAAATGTGCAGTTTCATGACTCTCGCGATATTTCTGTATTTAATTCTTCGCTGTGCTCTCATCTCATCCTTATTTTCTATGATGTGCCTTTGTTCGTGCATAAGCAAATAGAAAAAAAGTATAACAATTCATCAAGTGGAATAGTTGAAGCACATTTTAAAAGACTAAGGGAGTGAAATAGAGATTCATAGTACATAGAAGTGTAAGAGCTATAGCTAAAGTAGTAAATGTAGCTTGAAAAGAGGAAGATAATAGTCTGTGATGTGGTGATGAATTGTTCCTTTTATTATCATTTTTCGTAGCTTGCTTTCTCATTTTTTGAAGACTCTAGAAATGCTAGTACTTTTTGCATTTGCAATCTTGTTAACCATTACAATATTGTTGATGTTATAAAACGAGGAAAATTAAAAATGAAAATTAATTTTTTTTTTCATGCAAAAAGAGGGAAAATATTGTGGCTATAAGATGAATAGAGTTGTTGAAGTTTTGGTTGTGGCATGAAATTTCCTTCTTGGAAGGGAATTTTCTTTGTCTAGTTGGTTTATTGAGTTTTGTTTTTATAAGATTATATTTTCAAGGATGTGTCTATTATTTAACTTTTGACGAAAGGATTCTAATTGAGAATCAAACAAAGAGATTTTTTATGTTTTACTTTTTGCTCAAAAATTGACTTATAATTTTCATTTTTTTATGACGAACTCTTCATTTACTAAAATTTCAAGAGTTCAAATTTCAAACTTGAATTTGTAAAACATAATTATAATAATAAAATTCATAGTTTACAAAAAAAAAACTTGAAAACTCTTGAAACAAAAAGTGCAAAGCTCAAAAAAGTTTTAACATAAAGCTTAAAGATTCCTTAATAAAATAAAATTAATTAATGCTATAATTTTTGAAATGAAAAGTTTCGAACTTCAAATGAGGTTCTTCTTTAAAAGCTTCAAGTGCATTAATTTAACAATTCCTTAAGAAGTTTTATTTTAATGTTTTATTCCAAACATAAAAGCTGTTTGTGCAACTTAAATTTCATCTTTTATTTTCATTTCTTAATTAATTACTTTAATTCAACTGAGAGTGAAAAAGTTTTGTGGATGTACAGAAATGAAAATTATCGTTAAATCTCAAGTAAATTAAACAAAGGTATGGGAAGTAAAATAAACAAAAAGAAAATTATAAACAGAATTTTTTTTATTGAATTATTTTTTCTTACTCATTATTGCTATTCCAATACTTATTTACTTAATAATTATTTGATTTTATGACATAAATTGAGTAAAGAATTTAAAAAAATGAATAAAAATTATTAATGCTTATGAATTTTTAATTTCGCGTTTCCGTATCAAAATCAGAATTAAAATGCTATTTTTCGTGTATATCATAATTTTGCAGAGCTGTGAGGGTGAAAATTGCCGTATGTGACACAATTTTATGATTAAATTCATATTATAACATGACATTAATAATTTATTTATGAATATGTGAATATTATGTTGGTTTATACGCTCATTATGCTTCATGTTGTTCAGTTGATTTAACCCTGGCAGTAAAGAATTTAAAAGGGAGTTTTTGAGTCATTAGGATGTAAACCTAATTTATTATTGACAGATTGATGAAATTAAATAAAATTTTGAAGTTCGGGTAATTATTTGGATGTTGAGACTAGCAACAAATTGATATTTAACATGATTTAATTATTTTTAAGTTTAATAATTGTTTGAAAAACTTAAAGTAATGTTAAAAAATGTAATTTAGGGTTACTAATGTCTTTTTTCTTTGAAATCTTACTCCCAAAAATCTGTATTGCTCGGGTATTAATCTTTTGTTAACTTAAAAAGTTTCTCATCCTGTTATTTAATTCTTTCATTAAAGAAAAATTTGTTAACTTTTGATTAAACTTCCATAAAATTTTATAAAAAATTCACATCGAAAAAACTTTGATGAAATAACAAATTTTTTTTTAAGGAATTTGTTTCGCGATTTAACTTACAAAGTATGAAATTTTTCATCGATTAATATAAAAAGTTAATATTTACATTTACACAAGAATTTCATATATGACATACATGATATGTTATCATTATTATCATTTACACAATTTTAACGATTTTAAATATGAAAAATTTTCTTTTTTGCTCGCATTTTTATTATTTTAAATTTTTTTTCCTTGAATATTTATTTTAACCCTTTATCCGAACATGATAAAAACTGTTATGTATATTCATATTGTATTTCTCGTCTTTTCATCTATAGTTGAATAGTTTTCTTTATATTTTATGAACAGAATTTTACAAGAGAACTTTTTCGTCTCAATTATTTTCATAAAGTTTGCTTCTTTAATAGAAACAATATTTTTTTTTTGTCTAGGAAATATAAAAAGAAGCTTTATCATTCAAAACAAATTGAGTTATATTGTCTATGGAAATTTGTCTACTAGAGTTTTTAGAAAAGTTTAAATTGTTATTGAACAATTTTTTTATGCATTAGAGTCAATTATTCCCCAATACTCGAGGCAATTTATCAAACTTATTCAAATGTTAAAGTTTTGATTTTTTATTTACAAATCAATTAAAAATGTTTGCATTAAAACTGCATTTCCATTAAAAATTCAACAAATTTTAAAAGCTTTTTTACAGACTTAACGAAAAGTAATGTGAAAAGCAATTAAATTCAATTTTGATCTCTAAGTGATAGATAGAAAAATATTATGATGCTGTCCAAGATTTCAAAAAGTGCATCTAGTCACTATTCTACAGTAGTTTTAATTGTTAGAAATGTAAATATATCATCATTTAGAATAATTTTTCCTCTCTCAACTTCCAGGGAAATGGTGAAAACGAGTAAAGATGGAGAGCTTTAAAAAGTCCTTGTACAGCACTTTATCATAGAAATTAAAACTATTATAATAGTGTCGTCAAGTGTTGTCCTTAGTTTTCTTCATTGTCTCCTCTGATTATTTTGATATGGGGATCATGTTTTGAAAATGTGTGTTTTTAATGTAATTTGAGACATGGTTTTTTTTTCTTTAATTTTATACTTGAATCAATTTCTCAATATTGCTAATTTTCATCAAAGACTTAAATATTGAAACAATAGTCTCCCCACTTTTAGTTTTTCAAAATTCTGTTTATAAATATTTATTTAATTATAAATATTTTTCCCTTTTTGCATTCGGATTATTTCTCTACAAATTCTCTGTTTCATCCATAAGCACCATAAAATCGACTTGTTGAGAAAAGGAAGTAGAATTTTTTTTTCATTTCTTATTTTATACAAATTAATTAATTCTCTTAGTCTTTCTTTAATTTTTCTGTCTTTGTCATTTCTAAGCTTTGTTTAAAATTTCTTAATTCCTTGTGTACCTCTTTATCCGCATAGTTATCTAAATTCAACTTGCTATGAAATTAAAAAGATTTGAAATTTTCTATTTATTCTCATAACAATTAAAGGACGAGAAAAAAGTATAATTATCATAAGATTTATGCTGCAATATAACAAAAAAGAAAATTTTTTCTTGCATTTTTTTCCTTTTAACTATTAATTTTAACATTATTATTATTATTATTGTTATTTTTATTCATATTTAGACTACTTAAGATTAAATTATGAATATCATCATTATGTTGATTAATATTAATAGCAGCATAATCATTATGCTGATTTGATGATTCGTTAAACAAATTTAAAGGCATGGATGATGACGTGTCACTCAATGATACAAAGAATAGTAAATTGTCATTAGCTACGATAGGTGTGTTTTGATTTTCCCTATCGTAGGAATCCAAATGTCAGAAAACTTTGTCAAGATCAAGTAAAACGTCAATATATCAGGAAACAAAAAGCCTTCCTCATAATGGCACCAAACCGGTGCGCGCTGTTGCATTTCTTGTCATATAAATTTCCATATCATTATCCGTCCAATTGTCTGAGGTGTCGTAGCAATTGCTGAGATTGTGTGTTGAACCAGATTGTGAGAATCTGTGTAATGGAATGAAAAGTGAACTTAGTTTGATGATGCATGATTTTTTGGATCTTAAAACAATAGTAGATTAGGAAGATTTAACTTACCGACTGCCTGGACGATTTGTGTGTAAATGAGCCGTATTTAAGTGATCTCGTGAACGTGAGCGTGGTCGAGTGCGACGAGTTGATGATGCGATACTTTGTGGTGCTCCGTGTATTGATCCAGCATAAGAAGCACGAGACATTCTCTCAGATGCTGCGGCTAAAGAGTTACGTGATTGTCTCAATTCTATGTTTGGATGAGAATAAGAAGGATTTTTTTTTATTAAAAAATGGTCTAGGTAGAGTCCAATGCTAGCAAACAGAAATTTTTGAGTTCTTATTATTCGAACTTCGAATTTTTGAGGTTCTTATTTTTCGAAAATCGAATCTTCGAAGTTCTTATTTTTAAAAAAAAATCGTTGTGAATTATTATTTTTCGAGTAATTTGTAATTTAAGTGAACATTCCTACTAGTTTTTATGATTAAGATAATCACTATGATGAAATTGCATTACTTAATTGTTTATGATTTAAAAAACAGCTAGTTTAAAAAAATAAAAAGTAACGGACTTTCTTATTTTGAAATTTTAAAAAAATACCGCGCGAAAATTTTGAATTTTTTTTTGTTTGTAACGGCATCTGTTCTCTTTGCTAACATTGGGTAGAGTGTTTTTATGTAGCAAGCAATTTACCCGGTCTTGAATTGACTAAATTGGTTGGAAAGGCTGAGTTAAGATATCCACGATGATGAGACTGATTTGTAAAGCTGTGATGCGATTGTCCATCGGCAATTGATCTGTAATAACTTTTAAATTTATTTTATCAAGCCTAAAAGAATATTTTTCACAAGCAATTACCTCGGTTTAGATGCCTTTAAACCTCCAATCGCCGAAAAGTGTGAAATATGGCTGCGTAAATCATCATTAAGACTTGCTGGCTGGTCCATTTGGAAAACTCTTGGTCTCGGTATTGAGCGTCCGCTATATGCAGAAACTTGATCCCAATCCTAAATTATTCAGATAAAAAAAAAACATTTTAATTAAATATTTGGAATGTAATTGTGTGCAAAATAATATACATAATGCCAATTTGCGTGCAGCAACATACATAATGTGTCTTTTGTTAAAATCAAATCATAGATCTAAAAGGTTTTTTGTTAAAGAGTAATCTCATTTCTTTACATACAACACGCGACATAGAAAAACATTTTTAATTGAAATTCATTCACGATTTTTATCACTAAGTCAGTAGAGCAGTGAGACTGTCTAGTGCTTTAATTTCAATTCAATCCGCTGTTTTATTATTTCTTAAATATTAATTAGAGTGTGATGATGAAATGAGCGCAATTTTTGTGTTTGCACGTGATCATGATGACTATATGTTGTATGCTATCGCCTTATATGCTAAAGAAAGTGTAATAATTTTTTTTACAGTAGACATGTTAGACATCAGTCTTGATAATAATGAAAAGAGAAATGCTCAATGAATATTGTAATGATGATGATGATTAGTCTAAATTTCTTCCTCTATTGTCTCGTTAAACAAGGTGTGACGATTTCAGATACTTAATTATTAGCTTGATTATGGCAATTAAAATAGAAAATTGCTTGTAATTCTTTTCTTGTCTTCTAAATCACGTGCGAATGATTTTGAAAATGAATTTCTTGAAAAGTGGGAGAAGTAAAAGTTTCAGATTTTTTAATTAGATGCAATTGATTAGAAATTTTCTTTATTGATGTGTTAATCGTGCTTTAGTGAAGAAATTGGTATAACATTTCATGCTTATGACTTCTTTTATTGGTTTAACTTGCGTGATTTAAAAGTGTATTATTGAGATTATTGGGCTTTACCTTAAATTCTTTATGGATGAATATTTTGAGCACTTTTTTATGGAATTCACAATTCACCATCACTTATTTTAATGGTTTAAAGGTTTTGTTTCTCGAGAGCAACGACCATTCATTTGAACTCTTATTCCTGACTCATGATCTTTATGCTTATCCAAATTGATTACACAAAGAATTCTTATTTCTAAAATTAAAAATTCTATTCACAACCTTTTATGTCATAAGAACAGGACGACAAAAGAATACGGAGAATCATTTTAAAATGCCTGTCGACTAATCCAGATTTTTTCTTTGGAATTTTAATTGATGTTTTACATGAAAGATTATCGTAGACATATTGATGCTAAAAGTATCAAAGGTTGAGATGTGAGATACAACATGCTACGTTATCTTCATCATCCTTGTGTATCCATTTTCTAGCACAGCATGATTTAGTATTGATTAATTTGTAGAGGAAAATAAGTAAATTTAGATAGAAGCAAATACGAAAGCCATTTGCATCTCTTTGCAAATATTTGTTCACATTTTCTTTATGTCCTTGTATTTATATTTGCTTCCTGATGTCCTTAATTAATTTCCCTCAAAAATATCATGTATTTACATTCCCTGGACTCTCGTAAATAACATTAATGCTATATTTAGATTTTCTCGCTCATTTTTCGTTCCCACATAATTGAATTGTCCTCTTTGTCTTTCTTAATCGAATTTATTTACAGAAAGGATTTCTAGTTAAACAATAATTACGTACAAAATGATAAAATAATTAATAATTAAAGTTGTATGTATGTAACAAAAGACTTCCTTAAATCAATATAATATTAAAAAGTTAAATTTTCTATTAAAAAGCATAAAATTATTATCGAATATTAATAAGCAGTAAAAAAATTTAATCTCTACACTAAAAATAATACTTCCTTCATTTCCATTCAGAGAGAAAAAAAAATGTACATGAAATTCAAGATATTTCCATTCAACCTTACACTCAAAATAATTTTATTTCATTTATATTCGAACCGAGTGGGTTTTTATAGATCTAGAATAATTTTTTTTCTCTCTGTGTAAATGAAATTTAATACAATTTCACCCAAATCATTATCCACAACCACTAATGAATTTCCGAAAATATAAAAAAATCAACTTAATATCCTAGCATCTACATCAAAAATTAAAGAAATATCTCAATGTTCGGAATCAGTTAAGCTACGAAATCTCTCTACAGGCCTTATATCCATTTCTTTAGTATGATTATCAGTTGTGTTTACCTTATGAGAATTATAGACTTGTAATGTTGCCAATGATCCGAGATGTCCATTTGGACTAGGTGTTGGTGCACAGCAATTAACAGGAAGACCAGCAATCGGTAGAGGGCTTTTTAACGATGAATGTAATGACTGTAATTTCTTTGATCGTCGTCTGGAGGGAAAAAAATAAATATAAAATTATTCAAGGCAAAAGAGCTTCACGATTTATGATTTATGTTCAGTGTAACATAATATGATGATTATAAGTAATATAATAACAAGGAGAAAACGATTTTTTTTTCTTGAACGTACCGACTGGCAGCAATAAAGATGATAACAGCAATAATGATTGTACCGCATATAGCAGCACTTGCGGCAATTGTAATCTTATCCATATTTGATGTTTGTGCTGCTATCGTACGCACTTCACGACATTGTGAATGCGGTACATTTTCAGGTGTAATGGATACATCCTCAAGTGATACAACACACACAATAATACATTCTGCATTTGGTACATTTTTAATCTTAAATTCACGTTCTGTTGATTCTAAAGGTGGTCCTTGCTTAAAGGTTTTATCACCAAAGAGACGATAAACCACACGAAAGCCGAGTATATTTGTTGTATCTGAATCCCATTGTATTATGACCGAATTATCATGTCGACTGAAAGGAAGTGGTATTAAGTTTTTGTTGTATTTAATGAGCTTTTCTTTTTAAAGTCAAAGTTTCTTACCTAAAAGCATTTTTGATTTGAATCTCTTTTGAATCATCAATTTGCTGTCCTCGTTGTGGTGGATAGCCCAGAACAAGTGGTGGTCTTTGCTTATGTGAGGGTTGATTTGAATTTTGTCTCCATGAATTAGAATTTTTCGATGGTGCTTTTGTTGTTGTCAACACTGCTGCACTTGTTGTTGATAATGATGATGCTGTTATGCTTAGTGGATGGTTTGTTATCGTTTGATTTTGTGATAGTCCACCGGAAGTAAATAATTGTGCTGTTGTAGTCTCAATGATGCTTACACTACTTGAAATATTTTGTGAGAATGAAGTACTTGGTGAAATAGTTGTTGTGGTTGTAAACGATGGCCTTACGGATGATCGACTTATTTGTTGATTTTGATTTGATGATGCTACTGCTATCGTTGATGGAGTTACGAAAAGTGTGGTCGACGATGGTGTGGGTGCTGCTGAAAACGGTTTTGGAACGAGAGAGTCAATAACTCCAACTGGCCCTTCATTTGCAGCATCATTCTCGGCACAAGTTAATTCCTCTGGCTGTATCGAATAAAATCCTCTTTCTCTAAAACGATTTGGTGTGCCGCAAAATTGTGGATTTCGTTCACGTGATGTAACTTGTAATTCACCATTGCGTATCCATTCAGCTACCCATCGAAGTTTACAATCACAGTGCAAGAAACGTCCACCGAGTGACAATCCACGTAATGTCTTATTGAGATGAGCGAATGCTTGAAATGGTACGGTCTTAAGAGGATTTCCATCAAGTGCTAATAAGGTAACGGCAGGATTTCCTCGAAAAGCTGTTTCAGGCAATGATGTAAGTAAATTGAAACCAATGTCCAATACGCGTAATTCTTTGAGTGAATGGATAGCACCGACAGGGAAATCGGGTAGAAGATTGTTAAGTAAACTTAAGGAGCTTAATGTTTTTCGTATTCCATATAAAGCTGTTTCACTCAACGATTGTATTAAATTTCTCTCTAAATTGAGTGCAGTGAGTGAATCTAATCCTTCAAATGTTCGTATGCCACCCAGACCGGGCAGTTCTCGTATGCCATTTTGTGATAAATCCAAAAATGCTAAAGTCTTTAATCCCCTTACACTTTCTGGTATTCGCTTTTGTTTCGATCCCTTCAAATTAAGATTTTTTAGGCAATTTTCTAAGCCACGAAATGCATAACGCTCCAATGTCACATTATTATCCATTAATTTTAATGTTGCTAAATTTGTTAAGCCTTTAAAGGCATCATTTGGTATTGAACTGATCTTATTTTTCGATAGATCAAGTAAATTTAATTTCTTTAAATTTCCTAATGCACGTATCGGAACTTGTTCAAGTAAATTATCTTGAAGATTTAAATTCTTTAAATTATCTGACTGTCCAGCAAATGCATTATCCTCAATTTGCTTTAACTTGCAACTGCTCAATTGCACATTGTGCAACTTTAATTGCGCAAAAATGTTATTTTCTAAAACTTTTATTGTTGAATTATTTATATAAAGTAAATCTAATGGTGTTGTTCTAGCATATTTATCTAAGGCAGCAACTAAAACAGGGAAGTCAACCTATAATAAAGAAAAGAGAAGAAGAGAGGCAAACATGAAATTTGGGATTTAAAAATAATAATAATAACAACAAAAGAAAATTTAAAATTAATTAGAGCATGATGAAATTGAAGAAAAATTGCTGTCACATTTTGGAACAACGGAGGATGGACTATCGTCTCACACAGTGAAAAAAGAGAAGGATATAATGCAGCAACAGCGATAAGCACAAAAATAACTTAAAAAATGCGACAGCTTAGAGGGGATTTTCATTACTTTATGAGGGTTGGGGATGATACTTCATGTAAAATGAATTATCTATTGTTATAAAAATAATTTTCAAATGGAATGACACTTGAGATAACAAAATACTTAAAGTTACAATCCCGATTTCTTTTTTTTTGTTGCAAAAATCAGCATAATATTTGAAGCATGAATTCATCCTTGAATGTAAAATTAATATTACTTACTTGATCACATTGTACGGATAATTCTTGACCCAAATTATAGGCACATAAACACGATGTCTGTAGATCTGGCACATCGCGATGCCAGGGACACTGGGCAATAATTTCCACCAGCAGTAATCCAATTAGATATATTGAATAGATAAAGCGCTTGTGAAATGTCATTTTTAACCTGTTTGCTGTTATTTTCCTTAAAAATAGAAAAACGCTTTATTTTCTGTCTGCTTTGCTTATTCTTTTCTCTATCCTGTTGATATAAACCTTGCGTTCGAAGTTTTGTGTTGTTTACTATGTAAATCTGTAAATAAAGTGGAAACTTGAGAGTTATAAATTTGGAAGCTTGACAATTTCTCAGTAAATCTTCTTCCTCTTAAGAGTGAAATAAAACATAAACAACTGAAAGTGAAACCTTTGGCAGGGAACTCATTTGTCATCGTGTTAAAAAATAATTAAAATTATTTCTAATGCGGAAAAAATTTACCTCATGAACATTTAAACTTCCATGAATTAATGACTTTTTCTTTCTTTTAAAAAAAAGTTTTCACCAAAAAACAATTTTTCACAAAGCCAAAAAAAAATTTACATTTCGTAATGTAAATAGTAACTTGAGCACATAATATATACGGAGAAGAATGAAAGTGTTAAAGCTTCATACTCTTGTAAGTGACTTAATAATTAAAATTATTACAACTTCATCATTATCCACACCCTTTCACTTTCACATTCGACGTTTAATTAATTTACTGTACTACTATTTGCTTTGTGTGTGTGTGTGGCTGTTATCACACATTTATTCTACTTGCTGGAGCGAATATTCACGAGAGAAAATATTCAACATAGTGATTATCATTATGATCATGTTGAATTCAAAAAGCGCGAAGACATTTAATGTAATTGCACAAACATGATAAGAAGAAATGAAAAATTTGATTTTTCATGTACGAAAGCGCTAAGTTCAACATATTTTCTTCTTCCTAGGGATAAAAGTCATCAATCATTTTAACATCCCGAAAGATTTAATTGTGTTTGGCATTGTCATAAAAAGAGAATAAATTGTGTGCATAGAAATAATGTCTGGATGGAGATAGAGGTGTGGATGTGGAAGGAAGTAAAGAATGTGATGCGTATATGAGCTTTTAATATAAATGTTGATAAAAATTAAGAAAAGACAGGAAATTAACCATCAAGGAATGGGAAATGATTTCTTGTGTAACTTTTTTGATGGTTTAGGATAGGGAAAATTATTTTTTGGAAAGGAGTTGATGGTTGCACAATTTTTTTCATACACTAAGCGATGACTGTAATAGACATTTAACTCTGATCTAAAATTTTCGACAGAGAAACATTAAAATCTGTGACTTGAATTGAAAGCGAATTCGATTACTTCGAAGGTCTTAACACTGATCACTTAGTAAAATATCGTATATACTTAATTATTGATGAAAATATTACCTCCCTACCTTCTGCCAAATTTTAAGTTTTTAAGATCATTTTTTTAAGTTTTTGAAAAATAATCTCCATCCACATTCTCGCCTGTTTCCATATCTTGAACATCTTTTTCTTTTTCACATCATTAGGAAAGAAGAAAATGAATTTTTTTCCATTACATCCACAGCTTCTTTTATCACAATCACATTAATAATTTTCATGTCAACGACTCCATTCTCTTTTAAGTAATAAAAATGTAATATTGTAGGTGAAATGAAAAGGGAAAATGTATAACTTTTTTATGACAACAAGACCGAACGCTAGTGCTAAAATAATGATTGAGTTGTTTTCGACTTATCGGTCTTGTAATGTTTCGACCTTTTTATGTTTTTTGGTATTTTTATTGTAGAACACAAAAAGTTATTGTTTATTTTCGCTACTTTTATTGTTGCCTTAAAAGATGAACGAATACTGATAAGGGAATTAAATGATTTCACATGTCACAGTGATTGTAATAAAAGTCGTATTATTGTAAGCATTAATAACATGATTATTAGAGATAACATTCAATGTATGATTATCGTAAAGTGAGTTATAAGAAATCTCCTCCATCGACCAAAGCAGAGCTTTGTAAGTTTTATGTTGTCAAACTTTCAATAAAAACAAAGCAGGGTAAAAGTAATCCAAAAGATTATTGGCAAGAAAATTGATTGTTATCACTTTACAATCTTATACGGTTCACAGTCATATCAGTCTTACGAAGAGAAAAGTTACTGCTATGTTGATGAATGAGAAAAAAAGGAATTTAGCGTAAAAAGTCGCAGCAAGTGAAATGTTATATGAAAAAAAGATATAAAGTTGAGTGAATAAAAAAGCAAAGTCGAGGATTATCGCAAAGGCAGTGCATTCTCATCCTTCCCATTTCATGCTATTGAATATATATATCCTGAATGTATGGGGAGTAGAAAAAGAGCTTTTAACACGATTATGTACGAAATGATGATTTTGATAAAGAGGAAATAAGTGAGTGAAATAGACTCGAATGGGAGGAAGGAAAAGGATGATGGCAAAGCTTTTTATGATGCAATTTATAAAGTTAATATGTGAGAATATAAATGCTAGCTTTGTGAAATGCTGCCCTTCTTGTTGAGTTATAACAACATTATTTGTGCAAAAAGGAAGAAAAAGCGCCACGAGGACCATCACTTACTTTATGATGAAGGATAATGAATAACAAAAGAGAGCGAGAAAATAATAGTGACTGTGGCATCGCTATGAATATGTAGTCAGATATCCTGTTTTTGTTTTAAGTAGTTTTTACTTGCATTTTGATTGTTAGTTCTCTAGACGAAATTATTTACGAAATAGAATCAAATATTTATGGTCTAGAAAGTCTTAAAAGGATTTCTGATCAACTAAAATGCGTTTATTTTATTGTTTTGTTCAATTACTTCCCTGCGACATTACTTCATCATTCACTCATATCCTCAATGTGATTTATCATTTTCGCTCGACTATGATTTCGCCATTTTTTCCCTTTCATCGCATATACATGCCATTTTATTATGGATATAACAGCATTCGTTCATTTATTCATTCAACTCTCGTCGCCAATTCATTCTATTGATGCTCCTTTTTCCCATGCTTAATTTTTTTCTGTGAGTATGCGAATAAACAGTTAAATATATAAACATCATCATCATCAAGTATGTCCTACTTGACTGTTTTCTTCCTTATTTTATCTTGAAGCCATTCGAATGTGATTTTTTATTAGCAAAAAAAAAGTATAAAAAGCAATAATAACTATTCATGATGATGACATTTCCCATAATAGCTATTAAGAGTTGCTTTTCTTTAATACATTTTATGTTACGTCTGAGAAAAATCGTTAGTTTCTGTACTGTTTAATGCACTTGAAATTTTACTTCACTTGTCTCTTTTAAGGACATGAAAATTATGATAAAATGGATGCATTCTTTTATTTAGTTTACACTTGGTTTACACTTGATTTATTATGAGTCCAACTATTTCTTGCTGTCATAATTAATCAAATGTTGTGAATGTAATGTGTGTCAAATGCAATTTTCTCATTGTAAAAGGACAATGGATATTGTTGCAGCAAAACATGTCATGAGGAATTGTATTTTTTTAGATTAGAAATGTTCAGGAATCAGTTTACAATTTTTATTAATGTTCAATGGAAATCTAAGGATTTTTTCGCATTGTTTGTCTAGCCATCATCAAATTAACTTCAAATTAGTCCAAAATTATAAAAACTTTAAATTTGTTTCTTTTTCTGTTGTAAATACAAAGTTTCATCAATAATTTTCAACCATTGTTAAAGCAATAAATTTCTACATCCAAAGCATCAAACGACCCAATAAGGAATTAAAATGAAAGGAAAAACAAGTGCTAAAAGGCTAAATGCATTCTCAGTAACCCATAAACAATGACTAGAAACGTGAACGTAAAGTAAGAAAAGAGTTATGTGATAGCTGGAGAAAGTAATTAAAATGTCATTTAATTTGTGCTATGTGTAAAATTTATCCAACAAGTGAACATTGTGTGGTAAGCAACAGAAGAATCAGTAATTTAGTTATTGGGGTATTGTAAGTGAGGAAAGTAAATAAATAAAAATACGAAAAAGGCGAAAAGGTTATTTTCTCACAGAACATGAATTGTTTATGGTTTACTTAATGCTTTGAACTTGCTTGTACATTGAAAGTAATAAATTGGAAAGAAATTAACTTTCTGATGCTACTGTGCTAGTGTTAGCTGCTAGTATGATACCCAACTCCGGAGTTATTTATTTTATTCGAAATGATGGTGATAAATTTCAGTCTTGCGATTTCGGTCATTCTCACATCTCATTTTAGTTCCTTCCATACAGTTCGTATATCACATAAAAAGAGTATATTGACACATGCAATTCATGTATTGCAATAAATTTTCTTATTCCAAATGCTTCTTCGTCTTCAATTTTTATTTCCATTTACCTCGTCAGATCTTTAACATTTCTTCTTCTCGCTTCCCATAAAATTTATGTTTCAATTCAATTTATAGCTTACCGTTCTATGCTACTTTTACTGTGCAACATAATATTGACATGATTATAAAAAGCTTCTGATGAAATGAGGGTTATGAGGCCTTCTGGCAGCCACGATATTGTGAATAGCTTCTTTAAACTCATCATATTTTAAGGATATAAAAACTTTTTAATATTCTATTCGAGCAATTTCATCGAACAAGATGTATCAGTGACAATGATTTCCATTTGTTTAATTAAGTTTCTTTCCATTCCTCTCTTATCAATTTTTCACAATTTTTTCTTCTTAAACAAGCAAATATACCAAAAAAATCATCGAAGATGAAAAAACTTTTTTATTGCTCTTTTGTTGCTTCAAGCTGAAAATTCTCTTTTTCCATTCATTCTTTTGCAAATAAAATGTAGGAAAAAAAATTGAATGGCCATAAAAATTGAAAGAAAAAACAAAAAGAGAAAAATGAAATGAAATGATAATAATGATAATATTAATCTTTTGGGTAGCAGTTGACGTTGTGTATGGAACAGAAAGCAAGCAGCTTTTGAGAGCATTGAAAAGCATTTTGCATGCACAATTCAATTTTTATTCATTTATTTGCTAGTACTGCAAATATTAGGTAGATGAGATCTTTTGAATATTTTAAGTGACAGCTATGAATAAAATGGATCAAGTTAAATGGTATGCTTGTGCTTCTAATAATTCTGTATTTATGTTTTAATGCATACGTAATGCAGCTATAAATGAAATCATTTCCATAAATTTTATAGAATTGTATTCTCTATTTTCTATTCTCAATTGAGATCATGAGATACCGATGAGTATTTAA